TTCCCAGCATCAGTTGTCTACTAAGGTGAGGAAAATAGTTTCGGTCCCATACCCAGATGTGAAGCCAGGTTGAAGTGGGTCTAGATAATCATTTTCATCTAGGATTCCCTGTAGCTGGGTGGTCCTATATCATTTACAGCATCTAAGCCAGAACAGAACTGAGCTGTGAAGTGCTGCGTAGATTGTCCACAGCATAGAGTGATCTGCACTCTTGTCCCAGCAAGTCCTTTCTCAAAGTCCTGGTATGGCTGTCCCTTACCATATCTTCCATTTTAGTGACCGTTCTCTGCTTTACTTCATTCCCACCTTTTTTTGTCACATCTCTCCACCAGAAGAAAGCAGCTTGTAGTAACTTGCACACACATAAATGAAACAGGCACACAAGCACCAAGTCATTCCTATTTCTTTCCTCCTTCAGATTAGGAGAGTGGCCTTTATCCTCATCTTTCACTAAGGAGGGAGCTCCTTCAGTGTCAAGCCTGCCAGGAGCAGTCACCTCCCCCTGCTGCAGGAGCTCGTGTTCTATTCTTCAGCTCCAAAAACATGATGCAAGCTAGGGATAGGAATGGACTGGCATTTGCATATTACTTTACTTTATATACCATCCCATTAGTGCTGAAGCACTGTATTGGGTGGTTCATAAAAGATTTAAACCAAGATTCTGCAAACAGTAAGCACTAAACTAATGCAAACAGCAATAATGTAAGAAAGCATAAAAACCAGTGGCACCAATGAATTATCACAGAAAAGCAGAACAGGAGGCAAAACACTTAACCAGGACTACTGGCCAAAGTCTTATTTGGCTGGGTCCACCTGTGCAACAGGAATGATCTAGTTGTCAATGGCAAGTTGCAGCTGATTGAAGGCTTCCTTTTGCAATTTTAGGATACACACAACTTTGTTGCATTGTGTGTGAGCTGAAATCACAAATGAAATCACAAAAAGGATGCCTTTAATCAGCAACAATCTGCTGCTTCATTCTTGCTGCACAGGAAGAGCTGCAGAACAGCCGTCTTGCTGGGAAAATGTTGCATCCCACAACCCAGGGACTTGGTATTACAAGGAGTTTCAGCGGTTTGCAGTTCTGAGGTTCGAAGCAGCAATGAACAGTTAGTAGTAAGCAGCCGGAACTGGGTAACAGACCTGCGTTGCAGATGTTCCTCTGTAAACTCCTCTTGTAGGATATGATGAAATCTCATTTACTGAATTCTTTACGAATGATCTGTTTTAGAAAGTCCTTTTCTCATCCTTTACTGTAGTAAACAAACATGTAAAAAGGTGCTAAACAAACAGACTGGTGGTAGTAGGATAAGTTATGCTATTGCAGCTGCAGGAGTTTAGCCAATGTATTTCTTTGCCCAAAGAAAATTCAGAGAATTAGTTAATGCACATGAAAAGACTGCATAGTTCTGTTGTGTTCACTGTTAGGACATCTAGTGTGTAGTCTCTTGGAAAAGGTTCATTCAGTTTCATGGATATATCAAACCCAAAACCATATATCTGTGTCTACATTTCTTTTTTCCAGGTTTTTAGAGAGTTCAGCTATTGATGACAAAGAAACATTGTCATATTACATTCATGTAATTCTGTGATAGAGCCATGGAAGAATTTTATGTTGTAGTAAAATGTATCTGTTTTATACTGCTGTAAATAACATTCCATAAAGCTGCCAGTGAGTTAGTTTATTTTTCAGAGCAGCTAATTTAAACCAAGTAAAAGTTTTATATCTGGTATGTATAGGCAGGAGCTGTCTAGATAGCTCAGTGAATTAGGTAGAGGTTGGGAGTTAAATTCCCCACTGTGCCTCCTGTGATTAGTGCCAGTCTGTGTGGCCTTGGATAAACTGCACTTTCCCATGGTGCACCAGAAGAAGGGGATAGTAAACTATGTCTGAGTACTCTTTACGTACTAGAAAATCCTGAAAAGGGTCAACATAAATTGGAATTGACTTGATGGAACACAATTATTTATGTATAGGCAAGTGCCTGAAGAATTTGCCATTTCTTTTATTGCAGTTTATTAGTAAATTTAGGTTGGTGTGGCTGATGAAATCCACTGTGAAGTGCAGTGGTGCCTCGTATAACGAGCACCCTGTTTAACAATGAATCCGCATAGCGAAGGGTTTTTTGCGATCGCTTTTGTGATTGCATTGCGATGTTGCCTATGGGGAAAAATCGCTTTGCGATTTTTTCCCCATAGGCCCCATTTTCCCCCAGCTGAGCGGCGGGAGCCTCTGAAGGACCCCTCCCGCCGCTCAGCTGGGGGAAAATGCCGGCAGTAGCCTTGGAAGGACCCTTCCGAAGGGTCCTTCCGAGGCCACTGCAGGCATTCCCCTTCGGAGGGGGCATTTTCCCCGAGCTGAGCGGGAGCCCCGCTGCTCAGCTGGGGGGAAATGCCGGCGGTAGCCTCGGGGCAGTTCTTTGGGAGGAGCCGGGCTGTGGGGAAGGAAGTCTGAAGCCGATCCAACCTTTCCCCCCCCCACCATCGGGCGCAGCACTTTGGGAGAAGCCTCCCGGTGGGGGAAAAAGACCGGATCGGCTTCTGCCTTCCTTCCCCATAGCACGGCTCCTCCCGAAAGGCTGTCCCGATGGTGCTTGCAGCAGCCGAGGAGGTGCCCGGTGGGGGAGAAGGCAGGAGCCGATCTGGCATTTCTCCTCCACCGGACACCTTCTCTGCTGCTGCAAGCACCATCGGGACAGCCCTTTGGGAGAAGCCGGGTGGTGGGGGAGAAGGCAGGAGCCGATCCGGTCTTTTAGATAAGTAACGAAGACTTGCTAAGACATCATAGAAATGGAGCTTTGTGAGACTTCATTTGTAGCATGTGTACATGATGAGTATTTGAAAGATGTTCCAAGCTCCCCAGAAGAACTTAGAAGTCATTCTTTAATGAAATAAATCTTTCTGAATTTTGCCATTTCCTCCAGAAGAAATTAAGTAGTATAAGTAGCTTAAATCCTATGAAATTTTTATGTGAGATAGGTTCTTAAGGTAATATCCACTTGATATATGGCTTTTTAAAGGTGTTAAACTAACCAGGAGTATCAAAATATGTGCACTTTTCATTTTTCCAGATGGAATACCTCAGGTTTACTATTTTGGCCCTTGTGGCAAGTACAATGCCATGGTGCTGGAACTACTGGGACCTAGTTTGGAAGATTTATTTGACTTGTGTGATAGGACTTTTTCTCTGAAAACTGTTCTAATGATAGCCATACAGTTGGTGAGTATAACTTCTTCCCAATCTGCTAAATTGTGTTCTGTTCAATATTAGCCAGATATTATCAGCCAAATCTATATTCATAGATCCCCACTTTCTAGAACGGCACTGCAGGTGTCTTCACTGGGCTGAGGGAAATACCTGAGAAACAGTTCCTGCTGCATCACCAACCCTTCTAAAAATGTAATCTTCCATACGAGGGAAGGATACTCTGAATCCAAGCCAAAATCTTTGTCCAAGAATAAACTAAAAAATAAACTAAACGTTGCATTTAAATTCATTGTATCTTGAAGATGATGTAATACTCACTGACAGAAAATCCATCTCTAGAAAAATTGAATTCTATGAATTGCATAGGTTTGCCATGGTTATTCATGGAAGGAGCCATACCTGCGGACCACTAGAAGATGTCTTCACTTTTTTCCTAACCAAAAAAAGAAGAAGGAGAATAAGAGAACAATGTTTAGGCACCTTAAAGACTAACTGCTATATTTTAGTGTGAGCCTTAGTGGACAAGTCCACTTCCTGACTCCTATCACACTTCAGTTTGTGCAACTTTTTGGGCTTGTCTTTATCGCCTTAATATTTGAAACTTGTTTCAGAAACTATTTTCAGGCTTCTGCATTCTGCTCCTAGTACATCTTTGTACTGATGCAGCATTGCAGAGAATTCAGAGGTCAGAAGTCCAAAAGCATTTGGGATGGATTTGATTTCAGTCACTACTCAGAAAGGCTCATGGAATCCCGGACCCAAATTGTGCTCTTCCTAGTTCTTTTTATAATGTTATATTTTTTTCACCATATCTTTGCCTAGTCTGACTCCAATAATCCTCTGTTCATTGACACAGTAGCTGAAGTCCTGTCCGACAGTTATGCAAGCATCATACCTTTTAGGTGCAGAGAGCAGTAGAATAAGAAATCTCCTGTGCAAATTGGTGTGTAACAAATAATGTCTATGGAAATTTCTTAATTTATAGCAGTTTGCTTTCAAACGTTATGCTGTTTGCATAATTGTGCAGCAGGATTTCAGTCAGTATCTGAAGAGTGTACTTTCAGATAGACAGGTAGTAGCTTTACTTTTTCTACCCAAAGTTACAGAGGACAGTAGCTAAGTAACTGAAACTGTAAAGCAAGGGGTCCCCAAACTTTGCACACGGAGGACCCGCCCGCATGCATGTACTCCCACCTGCCCGCACACCCCCTTCACTCACCCCTATGCACATGGGCTGGATAAAAACGCCAGGTGGGCCAGGTGTGGCCCATGGGCCGTACTTTGGAGACTCCTGCTGTAAAGGAATCCGTATCACTGAAGGAAACTATTGTGAAAACAAGCCCTGGAGTTCTTAATACAGATTTCAAGGATTTTCAACATTATATCTTGTCAAGAAAAAAAGCTGCAAAAACAACTTCAGTTTTGATTTATCACCTCTATATTTTGCTTTTACCAAATATGTGTTTTTGGAGACACAATTTCAGTCAGAAAACTTCAGAATTCTTTTCTGATGGCCTTGGCTAGACTGAACACTTGGAGAGATATAAAGATTAATATAAATAACCTCTATGCAAGCCTATGAGATTCAATGAAACTGAATCCACAAACCAAGAACCTCATTCACAATCCATTTAAAAATACTGTAAGTTATATATTTCTTAACATAGAATGTATAACCCCTATTCCATCATGAAGATGCTGCGTGTAGTTGTAGATAAAGTAATGGACTAGGACTCAGGTGGCTTGGGTTCAAATCTCTGCTCAGGTGTGGAACTGGTAAAACCACTCCTTAAAATAAGTTAAGTCCAGAAATAATTGGACACTGACATGAGTTTTTTTTATTTTGGCTGTCTACCAAAATAAATTGAAGTTACAGTTAAATAATGAATATAGTCTTAAAGTGCAGTCTTTCAGCTTTAATTTGAGGGTATTTACATCCAAATTAGAGGGAGAGTTTAGAAATTACAACTCTTTAATATGTAGCTCCATCTTTTTCAAGGGACCAAATGTAATTGGATGATTGACTAAAAACTGTTTCATAGACAGGTGTGGGCTATCCCTTTATTATTTCATCATCAATTAAGCAAGTAAAAGGTCTGGAGTTGAGTCCAGTTAGGGCAGTCTCATTCGGAAGCTTTTGCTATGAACCCATAACGTGTTCAGAAATGCTCTCAATGCAAGTGGAACAGTCCATCCTTAAGCTAGAAGAAAAGAAAGAAATCCATGAGAGAGAGAGAGAGAGAGACAGACAGCGGGAGCATTAGGAATGGCTAAATCAGCAGTTTGGTACATTCTGAGAAAAAAAGAATGTACAGGTGAGCTCTGCAGCACAAAACGGCCTGGATGTCCATGGAAGACAACAGTGCTGGATGACTGTAGGATCATTTCCACGATAAAGAAGGCCCCTTCACAACATCCAGTCAAGTGAAGAGCACTCTCCAGAAGGAAGGCATGCCATTATTCAAGTCTACCATAAAGAGAAGACTTCATTAAAGCAAATACAGAGGTTTCACCAGAAGGTGCAAACCATTCATAAGCCTCAAGAATAGAAGAGGCCAGATTAGACTTTGCCAAAAAAACAAAAAACAAAAACAAACAAAAAAATATCTTAAAAAGCCATTCCAGTTCTGAAATAGCATTCTTTGGTCAGATTAAACTAAGATCAACTTGTACAAGAATGATGGGAATAAAAAAGTATGGAGAAGGCTTGGAATGGCTCATGATCCGAGTAAGATCAACTTGTACAAGAATAAAAAAGTATGGAGAAGGCTTGGAATGGCTCATGATCCGAAGCATACCACATCATCTGTAAAACATGTTGGAGGCAGTGTGATGGCACGGGCATGCCTGGCTTCCAATGGCACTGGGTTGCTAGTGTTTATTGATAATGTGACAGAAGAAGGAAACAGCCAGATGAATTCTGAAGTGTATAGGGAATAGGGATATATTGTCTGCTCAGATTCAGTTAAATTCATGGAAGTTGACTGGATGGCACCTCACTTTACAGATGGAAGATGACTAAAAACATACTGTGAAAACAACCAAGAGTTTTTTAAGGCAAAGAAGTGTAATACTCTGCAGTGGCTGATCTCAACCTGACTTCACTTGCTGAAGACAAAAAACAAAAAAACAAAACCTTAAGGCAGAAAGATCCACAAACAACTGAAGACAGTTGCAGTAAATGCCTGGCAAAGCATCACAAAGGAGGAAACGCAACATTTTGTGATGTCCATGTATTCCAGACTTCAAGCAGTTGTTGCCTGCAAAGGATTCTCAACAAAGTATTCAGAATTAAAAATTAAAAAATAAAAATTTTATTTGTAATTGTATTAATTTGCCAGTTACATTTGAGCCCCTGAAATAAGGGGACTATGTATGAAAATGGTTGTGACTCCTAAATGTTTCATATGTTATTTTTGTTCAATCCCTTGAATTAAAAATGAAAGCCTGCACTTCAATTGCATCTTGGTTGTTTCATTTCAAATCCATTGTGGTGACGTACAGATCCAGAATTATGAAAATTATATCAGTGTGCAATTATTTCCAGACCTAACTGCATCTCACTTACCGTATTTTTTGCTCCATAAGATGCACCGGACCTTAAGACACACATAATTTTTAGAGGAGGAAAACGGAAAAAATATGGTTCAATAAAGTGAACAGCAGTCAACAGTGGCATTAAGAACCATTACCACTGTCATTAACAAATGGAGAGACTTAAAGCTTTGTGTACTCTAGTTTATATACCATAAATGTGTGTACCTTAAATTTAATTCAAGTACATATAGACCATTATCAGCCAGTGATAAGACCTAAACCACGCTACCAATATTTTACACTTCCTTTCATCCACCTCCTCCCCAGGCTTATAGAAATGTCTCAATGACAGATGAGATTGTTGTGCAACTCTGCCCAGCTACAGCTCAAGCCTATATTAAGTTAGAAATGATTTGTCTGATTTG